TCATTAAACCCGGCCGGGTTAATGGGTTGATTTGAGTGGCCAAACTTAGTTTTAATTAGTTAAATCAAACTCAATATTGATATAATAAAACTCAATTAATTCAACTAAATTTTTAATAAATTCAATCGACCCAACTAAACTTGTTCAAGTCAACATTAAGAAATTTTTTATAAGAAATAAAGAAACCTTACCGTTGTAATAAAAATATTGTTGACCCAAAATCCATTTATTTTCTTGGGTTAGTTCAGGTTTTATGTAGCAATTCTAATCAGATTAGAATTTTTTAATTTACACCACAACATGATATAGTTCATTTTAATTTTAAATTATAATATTAGGATATTTTAAATTTAAATTTGAATATGTTTAAATTTCTCTTCTATTTAAATAGAATTCTAGGCCATGAAAAAACTTGGTTGAAACTTTTATTAAATCATTGGAGACTCGGGTTACTTGAATCTGCTAGAAATTTTTTTTAATCTTTTTCAATCATGTATTGTGAGTCAATTTCTTTTTATTTAATAAAATTGCTATTATTATCTATCTGAATTATCAGGTTTGTGACATTTTACTTTATATGGTTTGGCTTGATTCAGCTTCGATCATTGGCACGAATACTCGGCAAAGAAGCATCAAAGAAACTGTAAAATATTTTCTTTATAAAACTTTATTGATCAACATGATCATTGCAATTACACTTCGTCTAGCAATAAAACTTTTCCAATCTATCCTGACATGCCACTCAACTGATCAAATTTTTTGAACTCCCTGGGAGATCATCTCCTGGAAGCGTTTAAGCGAGTCTTGGCGTTGAATCTTTAGTTGATGGTGGAAGTTCTTAATGAAAGCATCAGCCTTTTCATTTATATCTTCCCTACCGTCCTCCATAACCAACCAGTTTCGCATCCCTGTTATCCTCCTTTCATCACTTCTCGTGCCATTAATGTTAAGATCATCATGCTTCGCAACTTCTTTATTATGTTCCATTCGGGCTGCTTGGCTTGTCAAGAAGGGTTGTTCTAGCTAGAGAGAAGAGAGGTATAAAGAGAGAGATGTGCTCGTGAAATGAAATTCCTCGTGTGATGGTTAGGGAAA